CACACTGTAAAAACATTTATAAAATGTGGCTGTAATGTCTAAAGAGTGTTCCACCATGTATTCATTGTTTGTATGTGTTTAAAGAAGTAGGGCATAGTAACAATGATGAACATTTCAAAGAAATGGAAAATAGGGTTAGTATAATAATTTAATATTAATTATTAAGTAATATTATTTAATTAATATTAATTCATATATATATTAATTGAGTGATATTAATAATGCTCTCTAGTTACTAGGAGCCACAGCCATTGAGGACAAGCTGCAGGATGGAGTTCCCCAAACCATTGAACAACTGTCCAAGGCTGAAATCAAGATATGGGTGCTGACTGGAGATAAGCAAGGTCAGTACACATTCATCCATAACAGTTACAGTGAGGCTGAATCAGTGTGTGTACTTTGAAGGAACAAGGAGGTGTTCTGCTTTGAAAGAACTCAATAAAAACAGCTGCCTACTTCACAGACCTGAAGAAGGTTCCACAGTTGAAACACTAAGTCAGCATGCGTGGGCTGCAAAGTACAGGTTTATTCCATGCCGAAAACAGAAGAAAAGAAACACGAGGTTTAGACTGTGGAGCCATCTTTGGGTGTGCAATTCTCTATTCAGTTGCATTCACACCACTCATCATCTCTCTCAACTTCACACCACCGGAGTGTCCACTCTGCTTCGCTCCTGCTGCTTGTTCCTTTTTAAACCCTCAAAGAAGGCTCCACAGGGAAAATATTTGTCATCTTATTTTATGCTTTCCAGCAGCATCTACGTATTCTTTTGTAGTTGTAGCTGTGCAACATACAGTACAATATTTGCTTTAGTAGTACACAGTAGTACTTCATTGACAAATTCTGAAAATGTTAAGATGGTAGTTTTTTCCTCTAATATATTGCCATCCCAGACTGGGTATACTGTAATGTATCTGATTTTGTCTCTATGGGTTAAAAGTACTCATTAAACTGTGACTTCAATTCCATTGACCTGGGTCCAATCTCGAACAGTTTTGGAACTCTATCTATGGTATAATGAGGAAGACACAAACTTTCTGTGATATCTTTCAAGTTAAGTTGACTTCAGAACAATCTTTATTTACAGCATTAGCAATTACCCATGGAATTGCCTAAACAGCACTAAATAATATTACGCAAAAGGCCTCTTGTGGTGCAATTTGTAAGGAACTGAAGGATAATAAACTGCAGTTGCAATCTTAATTCAAGCTGATTGAAAAATGATGTAACTGATGAATATTTATATGCTTTGCATGATAGAAACAGCAGAGAACATTGGCTACTCGTGTAATATGCTTCGGGAGGAGATGAAAGATGTCTTTGTCATCTCGGCAAACACAGCAGATGAAGTACGGGAGGAACTGAGGTAAGCAGAAGACAGTGGAGTTTTAAGGCAAAATCCAAGGTCATTTTAAAATTCTGATTATCGGTCTTTAGATGAAACACTGTTTTTTGAAATACACACTAAACATTGTTAGAATAAAGATACTGATGTTAGTTTGTGGTAAATAGGAACTTAAATAACCGTAATCTTTCAACCACATCATCCACTTTACATCATCTAAGGTTTGTTTTTCTTTCTTTAAAAGCAGGCATATCAAAAGGAGAAAGACGTTTGGTATAAACAGTTTAAATGACACTTTGGCAAACAGGCTGGTCAACAGCAGCAGATCTGCCTGGATTTGACAATAATAATGTCTGTTTGTTGTTTAGATAAGACATTGATGTAGACTGCTAATTCAGATAACACCAGGGCCTCCTCATCCCAATTTCACAAAACCTCAGATTAAACAATCTAAGCATTGGCGTGGAGTGGGTGCTCCAGCAATCAAAGTCAAAATATTTGCCTGTAGCAGGAGAAATAAAAGCATAAGAAAGGTTGCAAATAATAGAGGACAATTGGCCCATTTATCTCATTTTGGTTGCTAGTAGCTTATTGAGGACACAATCCAGCTGCTTCTGAAACCAGGGAACTGTCTTCAGCAATAAGGCCGATAGTTTATTCCAGACACCCACAACTCTTGTTGTAAAAATAAAATGCAATTGCAGTTTAATATCATTTTGATATCAAATGCATTGTGGGCATTGGGATATCAGTGTCCAAGTTGTTGAAAACCCAAGCAGAAGTGAGTAGAACTATTTCAGCTATCAGGTGTGCCTGAGACTGCCTTGTGCTCGACTGTGATGTGTGTTTGACAGGGAAGAAATATTCCTAGGATAAAGCGATTGTTGGTCATAAGCTCGACCAGCAGAACGTTTTTTGCTCATTTCATTAGGAGCGCACGGAGGAAAATGAAGCCAGAGTCAGATACAGAACCTGAAATTGAAGAAGTGGACAATCAGAAGAAAAAGCCCAAGAAGGAAACGCAACTGGTGCCTGACGAAACTGTGGAGGGGGAGTACGGTCTTGTCATCAATGGACATAGCCTGGTACGGAAAACCATAATCCAGTCACTTCTAAATTCCGATGTTTCTGAGCGGTGGGCAACTTTAACCAACAGAAAAAGATGAAAACGAGCAAAAAGTCAGAAGCAAAATGGTAATGCGGTTCCTTTTCACGATTTGCAGTTCTCACTTTGCATCCTGTCTCTGTTGTGTCTCACTGGAAGGCCTACGCCCTGGAGAAGAACATGGAGATGGAGCTGCTGCGCACGGCCTGCATGTGCAAGACGGTGATCTGTTGCCGGGTGACTCCACTGCAGAAAGCACAGGTGGTGCAGCTGGTCAAGAAATTCAAGCAGGCTGTGACTTTGGCCATTGGAGATGGGGCCAATGATGTCAGCATGATCAAAGGTACAGGGGGACATTTGGCAGTTTCCTAAAAGCAAGTAGATGTCTTTCGTAGTCTTAAAAATTATATCTATAATCCTGAACATTCATTGAATAAACTAGCTCATTTTAATATATTGAGAGGAATTAAAATGCATGACTAATGGAAACAATCCCTAATCAAGATCAGTACATAATTACATCTACACAAATGCCTTTAAAGCACTATACCCTGTAATGTACTGACTACTTATATGTGTAAAAGTGCAGCAAATTCATCGGTTGACAGCCCAGCTGTTTCAGCCGTACTCACGTTAAAAATCGAATTTGAGCATCTTAATTTCATAGCAGGCTTTAAATATGTAACTGATGGTATGTTAGCAGGAGTGGTTTTACCCTGTATCGCCGTTCTGACTTGAAGCTATCAAGCCTAGAATTTGAAAGCAGACTGTTACAGCATTTTTCCCTGTCCTTAGCGGCTCACATTGGGGTTGGAATCAGCGGACAGGAGGGCATGCAGGCAGTGCTCTCCAGCGATTTCTCCTTCGCCCAGTTCCGCTATCTGCAGCGCCTCCTGCTGGTGCATGGCCGTTGGTCCTACCTTCGCATGTGCAAGTTCCTAAAATATTTCTTCTACAAGAACTTCACTTTCACACTTGTCCACTTCTGGTATGGCTTCTTCTGCGGATTCTCTGCACAGGTCAGAGCAGTAGCCTTTCGTGCTTATTTTAACCCTGGAAAAGGCCTTAGAAAGTCTGGATTTAGTCTGTCTGTCCTGCACATTAGTTACTGACACCTTGGAATTAGAAAGCGAAAACCTGGTCTTGTATTTTGGATTACTTGTCTCTGTATGTAAGGTGCAAGAGCCCAGCAGGTTCATCAGTCATGTGCTAAATAATGCCGAATCAATAAGCAACTGTTTTCCAGATATCAGCTGGGCTACCTATTGTGGCGAAGCCAGTTGCTAGCCTGTTTAGTAAAGCTGTGGTTTTAATCTCTGTTTCTGGCAGACGGTATACGACGAATGGTTTATCACACTCTACAACTTGGTTTACACATCGCTCCCTGTGCTGGGGATGAGTCTGTTTGATCAGGTATGATTCTATTTCTTTATGGTGGCGGATTGGATGCTGTAATCTCTAACCATTTGGTATGTTTAGCAAGGAATTCTGAAGCACAGTGAAGTTTGCAGTTGAAAAACAGAACAGTTTTTCCAAACCACTAACTACTATGGGGCATGTTAGTGAACACATTTCAGTCATTGGTCAGATTGTAGTTCTGCATTGCCTGGTCCATTCAGGGGCCATGAAAAAAAAATTAACTTTAATTAATAATTAAGTGCTTTTCAGGAAAGGTAGAAGAAACACTTGAAATAAAACAGCAAATATAGGAGATGATAAAATTAGGACAAATAATCACAAGGAATTATTAATGCCGTTGAAGATGTAATGAACAGAAACAGAAACCATGAAGCCTTTTTGAAGAAGACAGTTGGAAAACCAACTGCTACAGAGTATATCCCCTGCTTATTATCTGTTGTAACTATCTTATTTTATGGCCAGCAGCCATATCACTATGCAACTCACAGCTGGAAGCCCACTGAGCCTGGTCAGTACCTGGTGAGCCTGGTGTGAGCCTGGTCAGTACCTGGATGGGAGACCTCCTGGGAAAAACTAAAAGTTGCCACTGGAAGAGGTGTTAGTGGGGCCAGCAGGGGGCGCTCACCCTGCAGTCCATGTGGGTCCTAGTGCCCCATTATAGTGACGGGGGACACTATACTGTAAACAGTCACTGTCCTTCGTATGAGACATAAAACCAAGATCCTGACTCTCTGTGGTCATTAAAAATCCCAGGGTGTTTCTCGAAAAGAGTAGGGGTGTAACCCCGGTGTCCTGGCCAAATTTCCCATTGGCCCTTACCAATCATGGCCTCCTAATAATCCCCATCTATGAA